TCATTTACGGTATTTAGATGCCTCGAGAATACCATAAAACTTGTGTTGCTAAGTGTCATAATTCTAATCAAGATTATAGAGGCGGTTTTTCCGAAAATTTGGGTAAATGCGAAAGGTTCACTTCCGAATGACGTGGGTCGCTCAGAAACGTCTTTGCTTTTTTATGTTCCGTTTTTCGGCCGAAGATGAGGTCCGCTCGCCCGCTCCATCTGATGGTCAGTCACGAAATCAGAAGAAAACAAGGAGAAAGAACTCATTGCACATAAAATTGGGCGTCATAGGCCATCTATAGGCCAACATCCAGATTTTCACTCAAAACATGAAGTTTGAATAGTTGGCAACATTACCAAGGAGCACCTTCAGAGTAATCAGTGGTATTTTGTATTAGACCTGACGTACATTCTTGAGAGTGACCTTCAGTGACATGAAATCCTCTGAGCAATACAAATTACTTTCTTGTCGTGTTGTTATAGTGTACCTCTTAGTGCTGCAAGGCTCCTAACTCACGAGTCTTGCTGACGGCTGTAATATATACCCAGCACTGTGTAATGCAACGAACTGGCAACTTTCCTTTGTCGAGAAACTTAACACGTGATATATCATTGAATTCATTATAAAGGCCTGGTAATAAATCAAGCTAAGATGAAATCCATGATAACTGCGATACCGGCGCGGTGCTCATAATGGTAACCTATCAAAGCAATTGAGGGCTCTTCCTTTCTGAAGATGAAGACATGAAAGGGAATATATGAAAATGTGTAAAAGTAAAGTCCACTGTCCTCGCCACAGCGGAAACTAAAATAAGAGAAACAAGAATCACCCAGTTGGGAATGAACAATTAAATGACTCTCGACCAAGAAATGCCCATGCTCCGTTCGAGACATCAGCGTTTTTTAATTTTGCTTTCTACACCACTTCGAGTGTTGTAATAAACGGGTGAAGATCAACTGACGACGCAAATTTGTTCAATAAAGCATTTTATTTGTACAGAACACTGCCTATATAACATGATGATAAATTGTAAATAAAAAGATATAAATTAACATTTGAAATCTGGCAATGAAACGGTTCACTTGATGAATAATTTGGCAGACGTGGTTCGCAAATAATTTACACGTATGAAATGGTTAAATACTTCAATAGCTGAATATCAGAAAACGTCGGATTTTAACGGCTTTCATAAAAGATTTCAGCAAGTCTTCAATATCAATATGTGTTCTGGCATACTAACCTCTACTTCTAAATCTTACAAAACAAAATTTTAAACATAAAACTTGCTCTATGAATCTCTGCTGCATCTCTCTTTAAACTTAATATATCTACAGTATGTTCCAAATTTACACTCACTTATAGTTTTGGCTGTTGTATTATTTTTCTTTCACTTTGAATTGAGTTGCTAGATGCATGAAGGACCTTAGTAGTTGTTGTGAATGGCACACACTTTGTTTGAAGCCGAAACAAAACAAGAAAAACTATTTTAAAATATTTGAAGGTTGGGTGATCGACAAAACTGAAGCAAGGTTTCACAATCTGTAAAAACACAATACACTTTCAACTGAGGCCCTTCATGCATCTAGCTGGCAATGAATTCTTTAACATTATTTGGATTAGAACCAGCAATATAACCAAAAGGGAAAATTTTGTGGCGATCAAGTTGAGCAAAACTACTCATCTGGAAAGGAATTTGTACTATTTACAGCAAATAAATTAAATGAACCTTGACTTTAACTTTAAACAACCTTTGTCTACCAACGGATATTTTAATTGTTGGTCATGATTTGAAGGGCTAAGCCAAGCTGCCCCAGTACAGGGAAAAAGAGCGTGATGTACTTTAACTACTAGCAGGATACTATGGACAATGGCAAAAGCCATGTAGTTATTGCTGAAGGACTAAATGATCAAGACTAGCAAGTCATTGTCTATAACATGGCTTATTAGTCACAGTCACACCACAATATATTAATCACTGAATCTATATTATCTGCTAGCATGTGAAGATGTCTCTCCACAAGGTTCATGGCCAACCACTGCTCTTTCATTGGGCCCGAGGCCTTTGAATACACAGTTCTTCAAGTCTCTTCTGTTGAGATACTATGAATTCACTGGCATTGTATTAGTAGTGGCTGTCGCAGCTCCTGACGCGGCCAGCACCATACTAGGCATGCTTAGCGATGACGGCTGCATACCTGTTGCAACCTGGTTTAGTTTGTTCATTTCAAGCTGCCAGCCAGGGACTTTTTTGGCAGTCATGTGTCTTCTCGCATGCTTTGTCAAGTGATCAGATCTCATAAAACGCCGCCCACAGAGAGGACAAGCAAATCGTTTCTCTCCGGTATGCGTTCGTCTGTGCCTCGCTAACTCATCAGACCTTGCAAAACGTCTGTCACAATTTTCCCATGTGCATGGAAAAGGTTTCTCTCCTGAGAAGCACAAAAAACGAGAAGAAAATTAATTTCTGGACTCTCATTAACACTTCAACTTTAAAATAAGAAGAAAGGAGACATAAAAACTACGGTTCAATTGACCAATAAATATCTCCCAAAAACATGTAATTTCAAGTGGTTTGTAGAATGAGGCGAAAAAACTCTCCACTTGAGGTCAGAACTCTAAGCAGGAGGGGACAGGTGTTTTACAAAAATGAGAAAAACGTAAAACGCGAAATTCGATACCAAGTCTCTAACCACCCCGAAAACTGACATATTACGTAACTGGGGCATTTCACAGAGAAAAATAGTAACCGAATATTATTTTCTTACCCTCGCTAACTTTTATCTGAAAATTCAACCAGTTCGGAAAGCGGGGGATTTGGCTATCGCGGGATTTTCCCGCGAATGTTCCTAAAACATTGCATCACGGCTAATTTCCGTGTTTACACGTGATCGGTGGGTGTAAGGCAGGCACGACAAAGGAGTGGTCCAGGCCATGTCATCCACGTGAAAAAAAAAAGAAAATTCCCGCGATCACACAACGCAAACAACTTTAAAAATTCAAGCACTGAAACTGTGTATCACGAAAAATAGTCATCCCTGAAAAAAGTTCTAGCCTGCAGGGAAGTTTAACTGTGTGTCTACATTATGATGTAACTGAACAAACCTGTATGCGTCCGCATATGAGCTTTCAAATGGGAACTCTTGAAGTACGTTTTGCCGCAGTTTTCAAAGTTACAAACATGATTTCTTCTTCGATTTGTTTGGCTGTTTCCATTACTGCTGTTCTCCTCTTGATTTTGGGACTGTAACTGTGTAATAAGCCCTGCTTGGGTGACCACAAAATTTCTTTGTAGCTGGGAAATGCTTCCAACTGTTGTCGGTGTACTGCCATTTGTAGCTACGGGGCAAAGTACAACCACAGCACCGGCTGGTAGATTTCCCCCACCGTTTGCCAAAAGAACCTGGTTCACATTTACTCCTCCCGGGAAAACTTTTAAAGGCAGGCTTGCTACTGTAGCAGTTGGAGTATTTGTGGTAGAAATCGCTCCCAAAGATCCCGCGATTGACGCACTAAGTCCATTGTTGTCCATACGCGGGCTTTCTAGGTCTGCGGGTGCTATGGGTCGAATACCGTTGCTTTCAGGCTGTAAAATAGGCGAAACGAGGCGATCAGGAAACTTTAATATGACATTAAACTATAAGCGTAAGATCTAACAACTAACCCGCAAATATACAAGATTTTTTTTATGTTCTTCCCAGCGAAAATCTCACCTTCTCTAAGTCGTCCTCAGCGGAAGTGATACTGACTGTACTGCTCAAAGACGCGCTCGACGAATTTCTGCTGATAGACGAAACACCTGAATCGGGGCTAGGACTTCTTTCATGAGAAGGAGGCGACCACTGACTCATTGCCAGAAGCGACTGCACAGCATCCAAATCGACGTTCCCACTCGGTTCGGCTTGACAATTTTCTGAGTCAGACATTTGCTCCTCCTGATGTAAACACAAAGAGGGTAAAAATGTTAGTTATTGAAACCTTTCCTTCATTCAAAAGTTCTTTTCTGATTTCACTTACTTCTATTTCTTTAGACGACGACGAAGGCGTTGTAGGTGGAGATAAGGGAAGAACATACATCGCTCTAATATTCTCTCCAAAACTCTGACTCAAACTTGCTTCGTAAGAGATTTTTGTTATCGTTTTGTGTTGATTGAACTTAGATCAGCAACTGTGATCATGCAGTTCAGAGGGCGTATTTGGGGGTTGGACCAATCAGAAAACACCTCTTTAAAATTCGGCCAATCACAGTCGTACTTTCATGTGAACGGCGCGTGAATTGAACTTTACTCACGTGTAGTCAGATGCTGAAAACGAACTTTGTCCCGCCAAGCGAACAACGTTTGTTTACATTCGGCCAAGGCCAAAATAGAAGATGACACGTGACGACGAATAATTTGCCTGAATAGCTTGACTGCCCGCGTCGAAGTAAACTGAATCATTCAGCGTTTCAGATCACGCAAAGAATAATTTTCCGCGCCATACAAATATTTTGGTAATTTTAACTATTCTCTTTTGAAGATCAAAGTCCGAACAGGCGCTATTATGACAAATTTTAAGGCTTTTCTTTGTTCCCTCGCCCATGTCATACCTTTTTCCGTTTTAATATCAATCGCTTCATTTTTGTTTTGACCAAACCCAACTTTCGGCCAAACCTTGCCTTAGATCATCGTCCCTTTTTACGATGAGTTCGATCGGCAAACTATTCGGGAACCACCCTATCGAAACTTCAAAACGAATTAATAAAGAAAACGGAAGTGTAATGTTTAACAAATATTAAAGAACAAAACAACACTGCACTCGTTGGTTCACTGAGCGACGTTTTCGACATTAATCTTCGGAGAGCACATTTTGTCAGCGGAAATAAATCCCCTCCCAAATTGTCCGATTTGTAAAGACTAATATTTTGGGCTCTTCCCTAATCGAAGCCTTTCTGTTCCACCTCTCTCTGCAATTCTTTTACCTATTAAGATTCCTTAATTAAGTTCTTTATAACACATGATTTGCACCAATCTTTACGTAGACCCTGGAAGCAGAGTTTCCGTCTATCCTCCTTGACTGCTCGCTCAGACAAAAGGCTGGCGGTGGCAAAATTTAATTGATCAAATCAATTGATAAAGCTATTTCCACGCGGGACCATTGTGTTTCTTTAGATTTTTCTATTACACTCTTATCGAGTTGAACTTCTTTTTTAAAATTCTCTCTCCAGTCCTCCTGAAGTGTTATACAGTGGTAGATTATCAATGCCAAATGGAACGGAAAAGGAGCAACGTGCATTGCGGCAGGAACGTCGGAAAAGTTGGGGAATCAGTAGTTGAGAGGGTCACGTCGAAATCCGCAAAACATTTGAAAGCTCTTTTGTTGCATTTGAAAGCTAACAATTAGTCACGTACAGAAAAGATTACATTCGGGTATAAGTTGTTTTGCACGGAATATAAATTGGCGTAGTGAACCAGGCTTAACTTTTGCGAGAAGATAGACTTGGTCTTTCCCGCTGACTTAGCTTGATCAGGCCGTCGGAAGTGAAAGTTTTGAAAAAAAGTCATTTTTAAAGGCCTAACTGAACAAGTAAACTGAGTGACATTTATGTTTTTGTTGTGCTGCGATTTAACGTGCGAGATATCAAAAACAAAAGAATCATTAATTGCGTCAATTCTTCGTCCCTTTTGTACCGGATTCTGAAATATCTGGGCATGTCCAAACACGCCAAATAGCAGGTCGGGTTTTGTTGGAAAATCACTGAGAAGGGCTTTTAGGTAAATGAGAAAAATTTTCAGAAAATGAAGCTTTGGATTGTCATAAGTCAAAGATATGAATTTGGAGCTGAAGAGAGTCAAATATCGAGACGTAGTCTACATTTCTTGGTCGCGGACAGCCAGGTTCCGTGGCACAAAAATTTCCTTCTGTTATGGGGCTCTTATAAGGCACGGCATCCAAGCTTGTTTTAAACCGCGAACAGTCCTTTAAACGAGACCTCTGCTATCTCATGGAAATCTGATCCTTTGACTGAAAAAAGCTATAGTTCCTTTCACTGTCGGTTATGCCTTGATAAGTTCACCTTAGTCTGTGAAGTTTGGTTCGCCTAAACGGAAGTATATGTCGATTGAGGATAAGTTAAGCTGGATGGAGCTTTACTGGGTGACCGAGGACATGATCGCACAAAGATCTAAAGGGTAGTACATGAGGAACACTTGGGTAAATAGCAGCACCTGATGAAGACGCAAAACTTATGCTTGCTGGAGCAGTATTGAAAAATAACAAACCTCACTTTTCTCCGCTTGTTACGCTTGTTGATAAACAGATTACATAAGCAGTTCTTCTCGTATAATTTAATAAATTTGCTGATTTCCGAGAGTGAATATATTTACAGGGTAGTCTCCTTGTTAAACGGTTTGTCCTGTGGTATGACTTTCTTAAGCGAAAAAACTCACTATTAAAAAAGTCACTAAACTGCGATCTCGAGTCCTGAGTGTGTTCTCTGTGGTTGGTGTACAAGCATTTCGGGATGCGCTTAACCTATAAGAAGCAAAGTTCGATATCCTGTGAACACTGGAGAAAGCACGCTCGTAATTCCAAGTTTAAATAGTCCTGTGTTTTAGTAAGCTATCTAAGGCGAGTGAAATCTGCAGTAAATTCAAACAAACAGGCACTTAAATACTTGCACTCCAACCTTCCGTACTAAATAAAGTAAAGCTTCAAAGAGTACAAAGTACAATTTCACCTTCCTACCTCAATACTCGCATACTTCGAACTTGACAAAGTGCGTGCGTTAAGAATTGTTTCCATTTTATTATTTTTAATCCTGCTCCTCTCGTTTCGCTTCATTTCGACACCTCAAACAGCGATCTAGTAGTAAGAGAGTTGTTCAATCAGAGAAGCAAAGCGTATTGACGGTATTTGAAGAAACAGGAAAAGGCTTGCTTTGTTGTTCAATATTGGAACTCTTATGGGCGGTGCCTGGTAATATACGGGGGCGTGTTCGAAGACGTGCCGAAGGTCGTAACGTTACACTTTCGTGAGTGACATTCGCGCCAAACGAGGAACAAGTGATACGCGCGTTTTCATCTGCTTCTGCTCTTCATCTTGACTCTGACTTTCCTGCCTCCCAAAGGTCGCATGTCCACAAGACCTACAACAAAAACCAGCATTATTATTGTACTGACTAGGTCATAACTTTGAGTAGCTGAACTAGTTTCTTTTTTTTTTTGGCCTAATTCCACGTCTGAACAAAGAAAAATGACAATAATTATTTAGATCTAAAAACTTTCGATTCACATGCACAGCATGCGGTAGCCAGAATGCTCACAATCTTCATTTTTTTTACCTCTCTTAGTCTGAGTAGCATTTCTTTAAACAAGACGACACAAATGGCTTATAATCGGTTACCAAGACTTGATAACCGCCCCGAGAGACCTGGCAAATTCGGCCAGATGATTTTTTGCTCTACTTTGGGCGAAACGACTCAACTTCAGCAAAGTGAAAATTGCGTAATAATAATCTTATAATTGATTCTGAGATTCCAAACCGCGGACACGTGAAAATTAGACCTTTGAACAGAAGCAATCACGTTCGCTATCACCTGACCAAAATAATACAACTGTTTATACTTTTGTGCCGTTCTTGGGATTGTTGTTAGAGTGTGAGCAGACTTATTTAATCCTCACCCGCACGAGTTGGTGTTTAATACTGTCCTTTATTTTAATTCAATTAAAATAGACGAGGGACTAACTCAGTGAGGCGTGAGAGGCCGGGAGCTAATGGTTTACACAAAATTGACGAGAATTTAATCATCTTCGTTAGGTTTAATTTCAAACAAAATACATTTTACAAAAGCGTAGGATGTGAGAGTACCTACTTGGTCTCAAGTTATGAAACTTTCTAGAAGCGGTTAACAGAAGTTTCTCAACGACTGCAGTTTCTTCTTGATCAGGATCCATGACAATGGAAAATTGTCGAACTTACGAGACTGGTCTCTGGTCTTTTCAATTATCACACCGAAACTAGGGCATAAGCAAGAGAAACTCAAGACCCTTTTCCATTTTGTCCGCAGACTGAATAGTCTGTAGAGCAGCCTGAGAGATTGCGGAATTCGGGGATAACGATGACCCAGAATTTGCCCGTCTCGGAAGAAAACCTTAGTTTTTTCTATTCAAGTGTTTGTGTCAAATTAAAGGCAAATATTATAATTACGTAAGGGATTTAATTGTGGCCAACAGACGAGAGAAAGTTCAGCAAAACCGAGAGGATAACACTCGAAAAAGGATAATTGTCCCATTATCCTCTCGCCAGTCATTGAAGTCACGATCACTTTTGGCTAACAAAAACTAAAAACGGTTAAAGATTCAACATTTACTGCCGAGCATAAATAATCACGATGAACTATTTCGTTCAGTTCAGAATGAACGCCTTTGAGACTATATCAACAAAACTAAACTAGTCACGAATATTCGGGATGTAATAAAGAAATGTGTTGTTTGTTGGGGACAATTTGCGTCTAATTTATATGTAAGACTGCGCGTCTTACTTTCCCTCGTACAAATGCCCCGTGACTGTGTACGTTCATCCTATCGAATTATTTGCGTACGGGAATTTAGCTACAACTTGGTACAGGTTCAGTAGCTTTTAGAGCTAATACTTCGGGGAGGAGGCTACTGGTGATGTGGGGCTGGATGGGGTCGCATTTTCCCAACTGGATTGTCTATAATGGGGTCGCATTTTCAATAGATGAACTAGAATGGGGTCGCACATTTTTCTGATTTTTGGGTTAAGACAGTCCTTCATATCTACGGTTAGCAAACGTACAAGAATGTTTGTACTGTAGGTGAAAAGTAAAGTGTTCCTCATTCAATATAAGGTAGATACATAAATAGACAGTGACTAAGATGGGATCGCGAAAATTACATATTTGCCCCAAAGTGACTAAGATGGGGTCTATAATGGGCCACAGAATAGACTATAATGGGGTAGGGGCTCTGAGATGCCAGCGGCACATACCCAGCAAAAATTAACCCAAGTACCCTCCTCCCCGGGCTTTTGGGTAGAGATCAGAGAGCCAATCTGAGAGCAGGCTAGTCCGCGAATGTACAGGTATTTCCGGTTGTCTATTCCCTCCGATCCACCGAACCGCGAAACTACTTCACTTTCTCCGGAAGGAAACATCAACTAGTAATACGTCTGAGTTGGCAGGTTTGCTGAAAGGCTAATATTCATAAATATTGTTCTTTTATATTATATTGGCAAAGAATCAAGTGAAGAGTACAAACTGAACCAGACAATGGCAGTTGTTGGTAAGCAACCCGGTAAGCAACCACGTGACACTGGGGAGGGTTGACAAAACAATACAACTTTTTTTTGGTAGAATTTGCATGAAGTTGATTAGAGTTTAGTACCCAACAGAGGGAGAATATTTGCTCTTGTTAATCAAAGTGGCCCCCGTGACGTTAGTTCAAACCAACAATTCAGAGGAAGAGAAAAAAAAAGCTGTACGACCGCTTTTGTATCAAAATAATTTAAGACATGAATCCTAGAAGCCGGCCTCCCGGGCCTACCTAATGATTGAGACATTCTCGTAAAAGTTTTTTGAATCAGTATTAAAACTCCGGCATTAATACACCACCAACCTGCGTTTAGTCATCCATAGATACAGGGCGACTCTGTCCTTAGCCTGAGCCCAGGCGGTTTCTGGCGGAAAAGCTTTATTAATTCTTAATTGCTGTAAATAGTTTTTATTACTTCTTTTTTCACACGACCACATCAGCGTTGTTATCGACCGGAAATACGTCTGCTGTTCGCAGGTTAAAGAGGATAAATAAGTGCTTTTACTTGCTTTACTTAATTTACGAAAGCCGAGAAACTGTCTCTTCGCTGAAACTCTCTCTATATTCACTTCCTCCCCCCTTCGCCCTCTAAGATCTCCTCTCCCTAACCCCTTAAAAAAGAGTGCTACTTAAGCCCCGTGCAAACGGACGCAACATTGTTGGCCAACAACTCCCAACTTTGTTGCTTATAGTTTGACCAGTTTCAAACTTTGCCCAACACTCCCAACAACACGCAACAACATGCAAAAGGGTGTGCAAACGGAAGCTAAAAGTAACATCCATCAATGTTGAGTCCGTTTGCACGGGGCTTTAGGTTACACTGGCCGGTAAAAGCATCATACGTCACGTGACCTTTAGCCCGCGTGGCAGGTGCATAAAAATATTGGGCGCTAGAGATGGAGGAACCGCGCGAGGCGAAAACTGCGCCTTTGTTATCTGGGCCCCTATATGTTTCTCGTGCCCCTGATACACAAGCTACTTTTTCACAATGGGCATGAAAATCAGGACTTTTACCTCTGCGAAAAATGTTTTTTGAGAGGAAGCGGTCTCGTACAAAGTTATCAGGCGAATATGGACCCTGGGTTAAGAAAGACGTCAAACCAGAACCCAGCAACGGTTTTGGTTCTCTCCACAGCTTCTAAACCAACAAAAAGAGGCACGTTTTGCTCGAGACTCTAAACGAGAGCGATAATGGTCGCTGATCCCTTTATTCCTGGAGTAGAAGAGAATCAATGGTATGCGTTCATGAGTCCAGAGAGAACGGAGGGCAATGGAGTGGAAGGGGATTGAATCCTCAACTCCTTTCGCGTGCCTTCAAATTATGCATAAATAAATAACCGTTAAACAAAGATTTAACTGTAAGAAATTGCAGGTGGTGGTGAAAAGTCATGATAGCCGGCAAAGTCATCGCTGATCAGTTCAGTTTCACCTTTTACAATGCAGGCCCGTAGCAAGCATAAAATGACTGGGGGGGCTGAGCGAGTGGCCCACATTAACCCCCCCGCTGTTGGTTGTTTTTGGCAGAGCAAAAATACGATTTCGTTCATTTACACAATTCCAAATTGCACAGAAGAACAGCAGTACATAATCTTACTATGATCGACAATACTTTGAAACTTTAGCTTCCATTGACAGCTCTCCATTTTAGTAGAAAAATTCCACTTTTGTAGCAGAATTTAATTCGTTTGAAAATTTTTTCGGGGGGGGGGCTCGAGCCCCCCCTGCCCCTCCCCTGCTACGGGCCTGCAATGTAACAAACGTTGGAGCTATTCAATGTTTCGATGCTTTCTACCACATAATGAAACACCGGGCAGCCCACCAGTATCTTTCTGCGCTACGCACTGAACAAATAGAAATGTTTGGTAAAACAGGAAGGAAAGTGAAACGTATGTTAGCGGAAAAAGAAAATTTGAAGCAATCGGTGCGATTCTTTGTCAAGTTATAAGTTACTTTGCTAAAAGTCACTTTCATGGGAGAACTTTTTTTTAATGCCTCAATTTGTTCGCCCGTGAGACCTAACCCTCTCCGATACATTTTAGCAATAAATAAATGAAAAAAAAAACCTTTACAGTAAAGGAAGACTGTAAAAACTATAATTTCCAATGGTGCCCTTAAATTGAGTTACAATTTCCTAAACGCGAGAGGAGACACGTTCACTATCCTGTCATAATTATTGGTTTTGGGACAGATGTCTCTCTCCGCCAATGTATTTGACTAAAAATTATGAAGCCTTATTAATACAGTTCAGTAAATTTCATCTTAGACTAAAACGCTAATGCCATTTTGTTAATTACATTGTAAACTTTACGGTTCAGTCCTTTCCGGCTAGTGATTATTTCTAGTAGGCAGTAAATCAACTTCGCAAAGTTGCGTGATGAAAGCAAACAACGAGTGGCATGAAAATGGTTGGACTAAATAGAGTTAGAAAACATTTCCCGAAATCATAAGAGATCTTTATATTGTAGCAACATGCAGAAGTCGACCTACGCTTCTTTCTATAGGGTACGTATACGGTTTTGTAGCTTTTTGGTACACCTTGCAACCTTTAAGTTACTGATGACTTTGATAACATCGTACTTTAGGAAAATGTCATTTTCAGGGTAGAAATTAAGAGCAGTTGTTTCTTATCCGTACTGAATCTGAAACTTCTCATTTGGATATATACGACCCTATATTCTGACAAATGCACTAAACCAATTCTTCGATTCTTGATTCAATCCAACTTGGAGGATTTCTCAATAAATCCATCCAGGAGGCTAATCAGGGAAACCTCCGACGCTTGATTAGTACAATATATATGGCTTCGACGAATTCGTTGGAACTTCTCTGCTAAATATTGCGAAATGTATATCGCCTGAAGATGATTCTAATTGGGAGCCAGGGCTTATTTCTTTAACAAACGTTTCAACTAGTGAACTACGCGAATGACACCCTTTAGGATTCTGACCCTTAAGCAAGCAACAAAAACTGCAGTCCTTTCATTGGTCTTCGTTTCGTTAGATTTTGATCGTACACGAGGCACAATGACGCTTTGGTTAAATACTGATCATGAAGCTAAACACTGGAATGAAGACTGTTCGGATTTCATAGTTTTAGTAACAAGTGACACGATGAACAATTACGCACTTTTAACGTAACAAAAAACCGCAATTTCCGAAAAGAATATCTGGAAGTTCATTGGTTTTAATTGGGCTCAAA